TTAACTCACATCCATACAAAAGGATACTATTTTTATTACAAATTTATCAAAAAAATTTTACCTAGCTTGATGGAAATGTTTTCCGATGATAAAAGTGATTTTAATTTAAATATTGCTCTCATAGCTTTGGTTTTTAAGAACTTTCTGGCTGTTTTAAATTTACCTGAGGACGTAAAGGGGATACCAAGGTATGTATAACTATCCATAACTTCTATTTCTCTATTATAGATGAAGAATTCTTTTGACATTTTCTTTGTAACACCTTTAGTGAAGACAATAGCTTTTGTTTTGGAGAGGTTCACAGTTAATTTCCAATTACTACAGTATGTTTCCAGGGAATTTATGCATTGCTGAAGACCATGCTTTGATAAAGAAATCAAGACAAGATCGTCAGCCCAAGATAAACAATTGATAATAATAGTTTATTGACAACAATCCTAGTACATGGCAGCGTATAAAACCGCTGAATTACGTACACAGGTTTAAAACAATTAAACAATAAGGTGAGCTAAACAAACAAAGGACATTGACAAACTAGGTACAAACAAATTAAACAAATACTGGCTGTATACGTACACAGTTTTAAATTAGATATAGATCAGAAGTATCCGTAAGTGATTAAAAACTATATTGGTCCGGTACTGGGAGATTTCAACCTAGGTCTGCTTGTTTATTTAACAAATCAGTGACATAGGGGATTGGACTCGTTTTGTACCGCTTTGTTTTCGTCAAGGGGATGTCGAGTTGGTTTGCCCCTACAGGCATCTGCCATGGATGTCTGAGCGGGATGGGGGTAACCAATGCCGGAACGTAGGGGAGTTAAGGAGGGACTTTGCAAACTTGAGGCTAAGGGTTTCTCTTCTTTTCTCTAGGGACGGCAAACATAATTGAGACAGGGCGATGTTGTAAGACGTGTACAGGGGGCCAAGGATTATCTTTACTGCTCGTTTTTATATGCGTTCATTTTTTATTACTTGATGTGCAGAGATACTTGAATTCCAAACTGGGGCCGCATATTCAAGGGTCGGGCGTATGTATCCTTGGTAGAAATCGCAAAGGTCTTGAACAGGGAGTCCGGAATGTTTCAGTTTCTTCAGCCAGAAAAGACGTGAGCTCCCCTTCTTTGTTATAACTTCAATATGTTTGTCCAATTTCAGGTCCCCCGAGAGCCATAAACCGAGAATACAGGCGGATTCGGTATACATAAGGGGCTTATTATGAAGTGTTATATTAGGGGGTGGGGGCAGTCTCTCATAAAGGAAAAGGTCATGAGCATACACTTCTCGTCATTTAGCTTCATGTCATTATTAATTGCCCAAGAGTTGAGTCGGTCCAGAGATGATAGAATTAGGCTCGCTTCACAGAAAAGTCTGCTCGCGCATAACGACAGGTCATCTACGTATTTATAACGATTTAGAATGTCATCTTGTGAGGCGTCATTGACACATATAAGAAAAAGAATCGGTCACAATTTAGTGCCTTGAGGCACTCTCGATGAGATTCCCTCCCAATCTGAGGATTTGGTACGGTATCGGGCGCACTGGCTACGGTCTGTAAGGAAGCTACATATCCAAGGCATACAATTGACGCCCTTACCCCACATGTCAACATCTTGTTAATTAGCTTGGTGTGGTTTATCCTATCGAAAGCCTTACTGAAATCAGTTATTAGTATTGTTTGAACGCTTTTAGGGGTTTCGGCACCAAGGGCTATGTAGTTAATTAAACTGTTTAGATAATGGACCGTAGACCTTCCTTTCCTGCTTCCAAACTGATTGGGATCTATCACTTTGCCTATGTCCTGGAGAATCCACTTAACGATGTAGGATTCAAATGTCTTTATAAGAATGGAGGTAAGGGATATTGGTGTATAAGGTTTCGAGAGAGGCTGGTGTCTTCTTAGGAACTGGGGTTATAATTGATATGATAGCTTTAGATGTTAATGTAGCGACATCACACTTGTCATGATAAAAACATTGCGGTAGGTCATTGATGAATAGGTTAAATAACATCGGGCTAAGGTTACAACCTTGTCTTTCACTACAATTTGATACGAAGGTATCTGATCATGAAGCTATTCTCTAATCTAACTGCATAATTAACATAATAAAAAACTTTATTGCATGTTCATTCCCCGGGGGGATAAATGCACTGATGTACAAAGTACAATGTACTAGAGAGAAATTACAACAACAATAATAAAGAAAGGCTAACATCAGGTCTAAGGTATACAATGCTAAAAAGAAATATATATATAAAGTGGTATCCATCTAGTAGTACATAGATTTCAGAATATTAAAAAGGTTTCCCCCGATGCCATATTCTAACAATTTGTAGAACAATCCATCACGCCACGCGGAGTCAAATGCTTTTTCATATCAACAAAACAAACAGTTTACGTTTTTTTTGTATATTTTTCAATAAGGGATTTTAGAATAAAGACATTGTTGGCGGTTCGGTACTTCTTTCTAAAACCAAACTGTGTTTCGGCTAACAGATTATTGTTTTCTATAAAGTTTTGTAGTCTGGTATTCAAAAGACGAATGACCAATTTCGACAGACAAATAGATAGAGCGATTCCTCTGTAATTATAAACGTAGGACTTGTCACCTGATTTAAAAATTGGAGTTAGGATGCTTGTGTTCCAGTTAGATGGAAAAGTGCATTCGGTATCAAAAAGGGTACCAATGATAAACATAATTGTCTTGAGTATGTTACGTGTTTTAGCATGTCGTTAGAAATAGAATCTGTTCCACAGGCTTTTCCAGATTTTAATTGTTTTAAACCATCGAGAACTTCTTTTGTTATAAACGGAATGTCTAGCAAACTACTATTGGGTGAATGTTTATCAATTAAGTTTTCTAGTCATTCAGTGATTTATATGAACACGGAGCTTCAAAAAGGTTCGGATATAACGTCCTTGATATGAATGGGGTCTAAGTGTATCCCTAAGTTTATATTAGTAAGTATAACCCTTGCTATGAACAATGAGCAGATTTCTTTGTGTGGTCCATCGGTTCCCTGCATTATGCAGGCGCCATATTGAATCTACAGTACTATTTTGTCATGGGAAAAACAACACAAATACTAATCAGAATTTTACCATTTTGAACTTCTATTGGGAACCTCGACCTTGACATATTTTACCTTTGCAAACATATTCATTTTCGTTGGTGGTGAGGGGGACCGGCTCAGTGTTTTTCAAATATCAGCCCACTGTTGTGTAAAAGTAATTTTTAGAAGAGACAAAAGATGCACGGTTTACCTGTGCATCGTTTTCAAATGTGTATTGTGCTGTTATGGTCAGAGACGAGTCTTACATACCTTGTTTGTTTTTTATAAGGGAGGTTTAACTTCCTTGGTAATATTTCATTTTACGTTGTCTGATAAAGGGCGCGGTCTCTATTTTCATGTTGATTGCCGACGAGCGTGTAGTATCAAGGTACGTTGTCTGACAAAGGGCGCGGTCTCTATTGGTAATCATATGATTGCCGACGAGCGTGTAGTATCAAGGTACGTTGTCTGACAAAGGGCGCGGTCTCTATTGGTAATCATATGATTGCCGACGAGCGCGAAGTATCAAGGTATGTTGTCTATCAAAGGGCGCGGTCTCTATTGGTAATCATATGATTGCCGACGAGCGTGAAGCACTCGCGATCAGGTACG